AGGCGGATATCGATCCGTGATTCGAACCCGTGACCATGCTTGTGAGATAGTGAGCCTTTTGCCACTACACATTTCTCACTCAGCCCTCTCTTCATTACCTTTTTATATTATGAACAGATTGAGGTTGATGAGTTCCTAGATAAGCAGATTTTCGAACAAGATGGTGAATGATAGAGTAGAACCGAAAGTGCAGGAGAGAATACTTGCAGAATGGATGTGATTGCTGTTGAAGTGATGGAATTTCGTGAAAAAAAAAGAAAATAAATTATACAGATTTAATAAAAAATAAAATAAAAAGTTTATATGTTGAAGCATATGTTGAAAGATTGCCTGCAAGAGATTATTTTTTTGTCGAACCACTTCTGCGGTTCATCACATTCGTCACTTATGTTTTCCTCTAAGCTTCAGCACTCTCAATTGAACTGGTTTTGTCCTCGGGAATTCAGCGCAGGTACAGTTCAAAACAAAAAAAGAGAAGGTAACCCATCTAGACGAAGAACTTTGACGAATTTCACAGCAATATGACTAAACGGAGGGTTCAAAGATTTCCGTCCCAGCGCTGCATTTCCACAATTTCAGGCAGATACAGGCTTGGTTCCTATGGCTGGTACAGACGGCGAAGCAACGGCGCAAGGATTGGACGATCTAAACGCTCGCTGTGCTCAGTACAAAAAGGTAGGTGCCTTCCACCTTAACAGTTTCTTACTAAATCAGTCCATTAGGTAGTAGGATAATTCTTGAACTTGTATTCTTCCTTGTGAGTGGCCCACAAGAGTAGTAAATATATAGATAGAGGCAATGAATGCGAAAGGGGCCTGCAAGTGTGGGACAGATTGGCAAACCCTGGTGTGATTACTCTCGATGGGTTATCCTATCAACGTTCGAAGGTTACCCGACCAAAGAGATTTCCCCAAACCTTGGCATTAACATGCAAAGCGCTAAAGTTTCATACTGTTTTCAACGCAGTGCTTTCATCCTCCGGAAGAATATCTTTTTCCTCGTCCCTTTATGAGGACATCAACGAGAGTCTCATAGCGAGCCCAGAATTATTTACTGCTCCTGAGAACAGAGAGAGAGACATCATGAATGAAAGAGCTCAGACCAAAATCGAAAAGATATTATAACGGTAATAAAATCGGAACAGAACCGCACAAAAAAACGAGTAACAAAGATTGCAAGTCGACAGACACTCCTAAAATAATGACAGAAAGAAGAATCAGGCATATAACAAAAGCTTCAAATCACAAGCATCAAACGAGCACTGCAACAGCGCTATGGAGCGGTCTCCTACAGTAGTCCGTATTGGTCCTGGCGCGAACGCCTGATTGTGATGCACCACAGTCAGATCTAGCCTCTTCTCCCCGAACGGCGTTTCCGCTCGCCGCACGCGAACACGCGCTATGAAGGGAAAGATTCGAATTCCTGGAAAGATACGAAGAGTCGCCGCGGATCCACTGCCGCAGGTCGTGGGTTATTCGGGTAGTTCCCACCCCAGCCCCACTAACCGGCTGCATTTTAATTTTATCGCCGTTTGTCGCACAATTTTCCGCGCAAGTAGCGCGCGGCGCGTCGTATTTCGAGAACGTAATTCAAACTGATCGCTTCAGTTTGAATTGCTTTCCCGCGCGCGGGTATTTTGGTGCAACTCAGAACGCGCCATTGAAAAATGAATGAGATGTGCTTGTAGAAACAAGGTGGGAGAAGAACGTCTGTTGAATTTCTTTCTCAAGTACAAATATAGGTTTTAGAAAATAGGTGAGTAAGGTGGTGGGTTGAAGATGTTCAAGTGTCCGCGCGCGGGAAATTAATTCAAGTCGCACATCCCTTGTGTGGCGCGAACGTCTCTATCACGAAGTCGCGGTGAGCTACGCTCAGCCTATCGTTGGAATTTCACTCAAATTACTTGACTCGCCTGTAACTCACCAGAAAACCAAAAGTAATTCTACAAGAATTTCAGGACGGGGCTCAATTCGCGAAGTGGCGTTGTGTTCACAAAATCTCTCCCAATACGCCTTCTCATGCAGCATTAGTCGAGATCGCTTTGGTAACTTGTTCGATTATACATTGTTAATTATTTTATAAGAGGAGGTGGTACAGCGGCAAGTGGCGCATACTATCACACGCATGGTCGAGGGACCAAATACTCGATCGATACCCGCTCAAGCCAACCAAACCTTTCATCGCTCCTGAGTCGTGGATGTATCGGACTCTCCTGGGTTAATAAAAGTTCAAAATTACCCCCATTGGCTGGCCCCTTAAACCAATGTTATGTCTCATACACATTGGAAACGCCACTATGATTCTGAATAGAAGTCGAATGCGGGGCGTATCTTCCGAAAGAGAACGATTAACGTCAAAAGACTTTATGAATGTTAGGTAATGTCTCATTACGGATCGAAGAACGAAACGAGATGCCGTTTCACGCTAAAGTATTAGATTGAAGCTGTTTCCCTCCATGCATTTTCCTGCCATATTACATTATGAAGTTCATGAAGGGCGGAGGTGGTGTAGTGGCAAGTGGCGCACTATATCGCACGCACGGTCAGGGGTTCGATTCTCGGATCGATGCCCGCCTAGGCCAACCAAGCCCTCCATCCCCCCGCGGTCGGTGAATTGGTACCGGACTCGTCTGGGAGGATAAGCATTGACTTGTACATCGACTGGCCACCGCAAGTCATTGTATAGGCCACATACGCACTCATTACGCCACTACGATTCTGAATTGAAGTAGAGTGCGGGGGCGCATCCCTCAGACGGGATTGATTAACGCCAAAAACTTTATCCTTGTATCCTTTATTACATTATGAAGTAAACATCCGCATTACCAGGATATTTTGAATCGGTAATTATTTCTTCCAATAATTTAACTGAGTTTACTTGAGGTTTTTGCCCGATATGCATCAATATGCCAACAGAACGGTCTGGTGCCGATGATCGAACCGGAGATTTTGACCGATGGATCCCATGACCTAGCAACCTGCCAGAGGACTACGGAATTAGTGCTGTCTTACTGTTATCGGTACATGAATTTCATAGTATGTAAAACGAATCCTCTGCTAACTTTCCC